TTATTTCTCTTCTTATATTTTTTATTCTTTATCATATTTTACTTCTTTCTTTTCTCTTATTTTCATATTTTTATAAATTGTTAGATGTAACTTATACTATTTTTTTCAAATTCACTTATTCTTTTCTTTTTATCATGTTGCATATTTCTGTTTGTGTTTGTTTATCCATTTTTCATTTAATTATTTCAAAATATTTTTAAATAGTTTTACATTTGTTTTTCATGTTATTCTATTTCATGTTTTGTATTCATTTATACTCACATCATTATTAGTTTTATTATCATTTCACTTTTCTTCTTTTTCACTTTATTCATTCATTGCTTCATATATTATTTCATCTTCTTCATATTCATACTTAACTTCCTTTTCCCCTTTCAGTAAAATCATGTAATCATCAATTTCACTCTAAAAAATTTCTAAATGTATTTGTTTTTGTTTAAAATTCTTTGAAGGTTTAAGTTTTTCTTTTTAATACTTTGTATTTTACTTATTTTGTTATGAGAATATGTTAGTCTAGAAATAATACAATTTCTACAACTTCTTACTTTTTATACTTTTCTTATTATCCTAGATATTTTTTATATTTCTATTTACCAAATATATGGTAAATAAAAGTAGTACATAAATTAGTTCACCTTCTACTTTTTCTGTTGTTTCACTTCATTCATTTCATTTTATAATTTTAGGTTGATTGTTTTATAGTTTTATTCAAACCTTATTTTTAATAAAAATAAACCAAATTTAATAAAAGCATAATTTTATTAATGGGGATGAATTTTGACCAAAACGATGTACAATTGTTTAAAATCTTGTCTCTTATTTGAATTAGTCAAAATAATCATTGATGGTAGTAGAACAATCACTTGCTACATTCAACATCTTTCTCATATATCTGAACTAACACTTGAATTTTACTCATTTTAATTAACATGAGAAATATTGTTACACAAAAAGAAAGTGGAGATTGAAAGAATTTATCATCATAACTCCATGATTTATTGTTTATTATTAAAAATGAACCAATTGTTTTTTTTAAATCTTTCTGTGCTTTTATTTAAATAAACATACAAATAAAAAATGAAACACAAAAAAATAATTTAAATACATAATTAATTAAATTAATTGTATTTTATTCTTCACAACTATTCACTACATCTTTTTATATTTAATATATTAATGTAGGAACATTGTTGTTCATTTATTTTATTTTCTATTTTAATTGTCATCACTAAAAACTTCTCTCTCTTTTTCTTTTTATTGGATTTCCGTATTGGATTTGTTTTTGAATATCCAATACTTTATCAAATTTTCTTCAATTTCAATTGAAATATTCTTTAGTTCTTCTTAAACCCTCTTTCTTATTTAATATTGTTCCTGTTTTTGTAAACCTCATTTTTCTTTGATTAATTAATTCTATTATAATAAATTATACGTATTTTTTAGATATGAGACTGTCTTTTCAAGATATGAAGAATTAAAACAATTGTTTTTTATGAATGTTATATATGACATATATTTTAAATGATTTTAAGTAATATTATTGTTATTTATTTCACACACATTGAATGATGATAAATCCACATTTACACATTTTACCTTTGTTGAGACTCACTGCAATTAGTGAGGAGTGCGTATTGTTAATAAAAATCTTATAAAACAAACCACTAGTTACTTTGATAAATTAAAACTCGTCAGTGAAATAAACAGTTGGTACATTCATTTGAATGTGGATTGAACATGAATTATTCAATGGTTGTAGTTGTAAATTTACCAGAATATTCTGTGTTTGTGTATGACACAACAGTTACAACATGAAAAATGTTAAAAACACTGATATTTCAATATTCTTATTTGTTTGAAATCAGAAATACTTTTCATTCTTCTTATTAGCAATATCTCTCATTTGAAAATATCAGTAAATATCTATAACATATTTCAAAACATCATCCTTATCATATTCTGTTTAACTTTTATTTGTTTTTTTTTTTTTTGAAAAAACTATCTCATAACCACATTGCCAACTTTGATAATATTTTCATTAATTTTTTATTTTTCGTACACATTTTGATTTAATTATCATGTTTATAAATAATTCAATTATATAATAATTGTGTTAAATTACAATAGTTAATGTGTTTGAATAACAATATCACTTTCTTAATTATTCAATGATATTTATCTTTTTTATGACTTACACTTCTTTAGAAAGTTGAAGTCATTATTAATAATTATTTAAAATAGAAAAGTTAACAGAGTATCTATAATGAACAGAATTGATATGTTCAATCATTGTTGAACATGTCTCTCTACAATAAATAAGAAATGAAATTGATTAAATTAAAAAATAATATCTTCTTTTATTTTTATATTTTATAATAAAATAAATACAGAGTAATGAGTTAATCAAATCATTTGAAATGCTGAATAATGTAGTACTTATTTTATAATTAATTATTACTTTTCTTCAATGTGTTATTTTATGTATTATTTTTTGAATCTTAAATACTCAATACTTCTTTTATCATAACTCTTCTTATTTTGTATGCTAAACATGCAACTATTCTTATTTCTTTTTGATTAAATGATGTTAAATGATGTTATAAATTCATTTTAACGATGAGAAATTAATACTGATGAATTAATTTCATCTGTTTTATATAATTTAATAAATATATAATTTCCTACTCACTGAAAATTGACTTGAAATTTATATTTTGTTAATAATAAGAGTAATAAAATAATAATTTCATATAAATAGGAGAAAATACATATTAAATGAATAAATATGAAAATGACTAGACATTGAGTATTACTTAGTCTTATATAAATAATATCAAAGAAAAACATTATGTAATGAAGTTAAATGACACTTGTATAATTGTTAATTATTATATTGATTTGCAATCATATCAAATGTAAAAATATTTATTGTAAACAAATATGAAAATATAAAGAGTTTTAATAGACTGGAATTATGTATGAGTTGATGAATGAATTTATTTTATTATAACTTATTACAACAAATAACACAACGACTGTTGAAATTCTTTATAAATAATTGAAAATAGACATTTATGATTGAATACCTCAAAATGAATATAAAGTCTTACTGGTGTTATATTTGAATATATATTTATTTGAAAATCATCAGAAAATCCATCTTATTATTTGTACTATAAAATGATAATTATTTGAAATAAATTCATTAATAATGAACTCAATCATCATTCTACCTCATTCTTCTTCAACTATTCCATGTATTTATGTATATTACTGAAAATTAACTATTTCATTAATTTTGACTTGGTGGATATAACAAAAACATTTATAAGATAATTCCCTAACACAGAATAATTGAATGATATAAACATGAACAGAAGAATAACAACTGTAATAAATATATTCTCATTCATATCTTTATTTCTATACTTATTTCATTAAGTTCAAGTTCCATGTATATTACTTTTATTAACATAACCAAATTATGTAAAATGTTATTATTGTCAACATATGTGTCAAATTCATCTAGAAGTATACCAATTACCAGATTAAAATAATTATATCAATATTGTCATTCATACTGGATAATTTCTAGTAATAGTCATAACTTGTCGTATTTTCATATTCTAATAATTAAAATAGATGAAGAAGAATAATGAAATGTGCATTATAACATTCATCCAATAAAAATTTTACAACAAACTATTATCCTTATCAAGTATTGCATATTTTCATTAAATTATGCTTAAATAATATCATTCTATAAGACTAACTAGATTATTTGTAAAAGACTAAATGAGACTTTAACAATGAATAATAATTTATTTGATAAACCAATTAACTCAAATATAAAATTCAATCTAAATGACATTGAAAACTGGCATATAAATGAGGCGATGCAAATTTATCAATAGTAGAAATACATATATGAAACTAACTGAGACAAAGAAAATTGTAATTACAAAATTTACAAAGTCATTTGAAATAAGAAAGATATTATTTGTGTCTATATGAATCAAATAATTCAATTCCCAGTAAATAATTAATACAATGATTGAATAATTTTGAAAATACAACAAACAATGAATATGGACAATCATCTATTAATGAAAATATGATGATTAAACTAAATGTAATGATAACTACATCATTATTCAATCAAAACAACATCAAAATAATTAAACCAATTTCATTCATTAACCCCTCAACTGATTAATACCAACATATCTGTTTATGAGACAGTTAAACGTATAAAATGAACAAATACTACAAACATTTATTATTCTACTTTCATTGAATTAGAAATAATGAAACTTAGATAAAATCCAAATTAACATAAATGTATTTGTTGTAAAAGTAGATAAACAGTCAATACTCTGAGAGAATGATAAAACATAGACAAATGTTTTGAAGCTAATAGCAATAAGAATTATTTAATTACTTAAAGAAATACTAAAACAATAAAGTAGTTAGATAAAGAGTTGAAAATTAAAAAATTAATCCATGAAATTAAAATGTTCAAGTAATTATCATGTCTTACATTATATGAATAGTGTCTCCCAACAAAACTTGTCTACTACGTAAATTGAATGTACCATATCTTTATTATCACTTCATACCCAAATGAATAGTTATAATAACCATTTTATTTCATTTCTGTTTCATCTCCACATTCTTTAATGCACTTCTTTGCATTTATAATGTCTTTGTTTGTTCATCAACAATAACCCTTTTTCACTGTTTTTCCTTTCTTAGTTGTTCTTCTTTTAATTTTCATAGAATAAGACATAACGATTAACTTATCATAATAAGTGGTGTTGATGAGACATAAGAAGAGAATGACAATTGAAAAAGAAGAGAGAAGTTAAAGAGGGATTGAGACAGTGGGGAGAAGCACAAGAAATAAAAATATGAAAAGATGAAATGTGAAAAGAAGAAAAAGAGAAAAAAGAAAAAGAGAGAAAAAGAAAAAGAGTAAAAACTCCAAATAAAAATATTTCATGTCATCAACAGATTGGCAGGCAAAGTTAAATGGTTTTATTGATGATTTAATAGAGTGTAAGTTTGAAATTTTTATAGAAAAGAAAGAAGAAAAATAAAGTACTTAAGAAAGGTAGAACAAAAGAGCAAAGAGAATTAAAAGCTGAAGGATTAAAAAGTTTTTTCATGACGATGTCAAGTGAGTTTCATGGAGAAGCTGATTCTACATTTATTGAATTAATTAAATACTGTTTCAAAGAACGATTACAAAATAATACAATGACAGGAGAAGGACCTACAATAAAAGTACAAATGGGAATGTTAAGGGTAATTGACATTATATTAAAAAGTGATTTTGGGGAAATGTTCTGTAAAGAAGTATGTAAAGATGCATTAAATCAATTAATCAAAACAAAAGACAAAGAAGTTATGAAAAAAACAGCAAAATATATTGGAAAGATTATAAGATATAATCTTCATGATTATATTGAACAAGAATTAAAATATATTTCAGTTTCAGTTGGAAATAATCCAAAAAGTGGAATAGGAGCAATAAGTAACAGTAGTAATAATAGTAGTTATGAAGAATTGAGTGTGTTAGCAAAAGTCATGGTATTAAGGGAAATCATTGTTAATGCCCCATCAACATGTTATACATCGAAAAAAGATATAGTTTCAATTATTACCGAAGGGTTTAAAGAAAGGGATTATGAAACGAGAAAACAAGCGAATATTGCATTAGATGAATATTTAAAGAATGAAAAAGATAAAATACGATTTGAATATTTATATGCATCAGCATTGAATGAATTTAAAAGAGAAAATCTTACAGAAAGTAATGAAGAAACAAACCATGGAGTTGTATTAATGAGAATTACTATATTAAAAAATTTTAAAGAAAGTAGTGATAAAATTAATTATTATGAAGTACTTTCTGATTTATTATATTTAATACTGAATTGTAAATCACAAACGATAAGAAATAGTTCAATTCTTTCACTTAGTGATATGTGTAAAATTGATCCAGAAAAATTTAGTCCAAAAGAAGCACCAATAGGATTTACAAAAGAAGGGTTTATTTGTAAAAGTGAAAAAAGAAATAGTAGAATGATGGGAAGAAGAACAGGAGGAACAAGTAATTCTAAAGAATTAAAAATGTTTATAGGATTAAATGAAAATGATATGAAATTTATTTCGAATGAAATCCCATCATTTTATAATGTTATGAAAGCACTTTTAATATGTTTTAGAAATGGAATAGAAAAACCAAGTGTACTTAAAGTTATGGGAGATTTTTGTGAATATATTCCAAATCAAATTAAAAGATATTTTACAATAGAAGGATTAAATTTAATTAATAAAACGGAATTTGAATCAATCAAAAAATTAAAGAATGAAAAAGAAAGAAAAGATATGGTATATGGAATATTTTATTGTCTCAGTAAAATTATTAAATACTTAAAAGGAGAAGAAGAAAAAAATGGAGGAATTGAAAAAGGAATAGAAGAAACAAAAGAATCAAATAATAAATCAAATGAAATTTATACTATATTTTATAAAGTATATTCAGATATTCATGAATGTGGATTTAATCCATATCTTGTTGAATTACTCAAAACATTATTTGAATCATTTCCACAAACAAAAAAACAATATCAAGATATTTTAATTAAAATGATTCGATCAGTTTTATTTCCTGATCATACAAGACCAGTATCAGTAATTCCAATTATCCAATTTAATCCACATGAATTAACTATTTTAGCACTTCAAACACTATATTCATTTGAATTTGAAGAAGAAGTCTCACAAAATATTATTCCATTAATTAAAGAAACTATTCTTCAATTTATTGATAGTGAAGATATTGAAATAAGAAAAGAAGTAGCATGTTTAGGAAAAGTTCTTTTACCAAAGAATTGTAAAGAACAAGATATTCATAGATATGATATTGGACAAGTAGTACAAATCTTATTAACACATGGACTTAGTGATTTAGATAGTAGAATTAGATATTCTATTATGTCAAGTTTTGATGAAAGATTTGATTATTATTTATCACAAGCAATGAATATTCAAAAATTATTTATTGGAATGAATGATGAAAGCTTTAAAGTGAGAGAACAAGTTATTTGTGTTATTTGTAGATTAACGTCATATAATTATATGTATATTATACCATCATTTAGAAAAATTGTAATTCAACTTGTTTCACAATTAAGACATGGAGTAGAAATATTAAGTGTAGAAGAATCAACAATATTAATAGGAGATGTTATTAAAACAAGTGGGTCATTAATTTTACCATATAGTGAATCAATTATTGAAGTACTTATGCCTAAATTAACTGATGAACTTCTTGCAAATTCAACGTCATTAAAAAGAAATTTACTTATTGCAATAACTGAATTAATTAGTCTTGGAAATATTGAAGAAAAATATATACATCAAACCTTAGATGCTATAGTGTCTATTTTACATCAAAAAGGAACATCAAATCAAAAAACGGAATTAAGATTAACAGCATTAGAAAGTATTACTAAATTAGTTAGAAGTACAGAAGTTGCAATTGGATTATATCAACAATATCCAGAAATGGTAGAAATATTAATGGAAATAATGATTAATGAAAGATCACCCCAAATTAAAACAGCAATGGTTAGTGTTATTGGAGTATTAGGAGCATTAGATCCACTTCAATATAGACAACATACAAACACGGAAATAGTTGAAGTTGAAGTTGATGAAAGTGCTGAACTACAAATCCCTATGTTATCGAATCAGCCAGATGAATATTATGCATGGACAATTATTTCTACATTAACTAAATTATTAAAAGATAATACAATGATGTCAATTCATGTTTCATGTATTAATACAATAGGAAATACATTAAAAATGATGAATAAAAATCAACACCAATTATTTTATCCACTTGTATCATATATATTTTCAACATATGTTAATGTATTTAAAACATGTCCAACAAGTATAAGACCAGATGTTATTAAAGGAATAGGAACAATTTTGCCATTAGGAGATAAAACAATACGAGACACATATTTACCAAAATTAATAGGATTAATAAAAGAATATTGGGATGGAAATATACTTGGAGAAGCATGTGCATTTTGTCATGAAGCAGCATCAAGTATTAAAGATGAATTTAAACAATATCTTCCAACAATTATTCCAATATTACTTAGTGAATTAACGAAATTAAAATATAGTAAAAAAGAAGATGATAGTAAAGTAAAAGCACCAATGATACTCAAATGCTTTTTAACATTTGCAGAAAGATTAAATATAGATGATAGTTTATATATAATTATTCCAGTCTTTTTAGAACTACTTGGAGAACAAGTCAGTGTTGGATTAAGACAAAGTATAATGCAATATATTTTTAGATTTTTTACATGTGTTAATATCGGAGAATATGCAGGAAGAATTATATTTACGACTTCAAGACTTATTGGAAATGAAGAATTAAGTGATAGTGTAGTTATGGGATTATCAACGTTAGCAACGAAATTAGGAGCACAATACTTTGTATTTCATCCAGTTGTTAGAGCAGCAATTGGGGAACATCCATGTAAGTCGGGAATAGTATTAGAAGAAAGTATTGAAAAGATTAGAAAAAGTATTTCCATAAGTAGTAAAGGAGGAAATGGGGGAATAAATGGAGGAAGAGGAAGTGGAGAACAAACAAGAATAATAAGTGGAAGTGAAGGGAATGAAGAAATTAATAAAACGGAAGAGAAAAAGAAAGAAAATTACAGGAAAATTATGGCAGTATGGGATTCATGTACACAAAGATCAAAAAAAGAAGAATGGAGTGATTGGGTAGAAAAAATCTCATTAGTATTTTTAAAATCAAATCCATCAAGAATATTAAGTAGATGTGAAGATATTGCGAACAATAGTAATTCAACAGTTGCACGAGATTTATTTAATTGCACATTTTATTCAGTTTATATTGCACAAGACCAAAAACAAAGAAATGAATTAATTCAAAAAATGAAAATTGCATTAACACAACCAACAATTACACATGAAGCAGTATCATTAATATTAAATTTAGCAGAATTTCTTGAACATGAAGGACTTATTGAACCAATGATAGAATTTGGAGATAAAGCAAAAGCAATTGGAGCATATGCAAAAGCACTTCATTATAAAGAAATTGAATTTAAAGGACTTAAAAATAAAGAGAGTCAAGTAAGAAGAAATACACTTGGAGAAGAAGAAACTACGGAAGAACAAGCCATATTTGAAGAATTGATTGGACTTAATAATCAATTACAAAGACAAGATGCAGCAAGTGGGTTAATTCAAATGGCAGAAAAACAAAATCAAATGAAATTAAATTCCACATGGTATGCCAAATTAGGAATGTGGCATAAAGCATTAAATAAATTAGAAGAAGAAAGTAAAAAAGAAGAAGTTAAAATGACATGTTTATATGAAATGGGAGATTGGGAAGCATTAGATGAAGTAGCAAGTACATTTTGGGATGAAGAAAATAAAAAATGGAAATTAAATGAAAAAGAAATTAAAAAAATGGGAAGTATGGTTGCAGCGTCATCATTTTATTTAGATAAATGGGAAAGACTCAAAGCCATAATAGAAACACCAACATTTAAAAAAGTCGAAGGATTTGAAGGAACGATTTATAATATAATTATAAGTATTCATTTAATTGATGAAATAGATAAAAAACAAGGAATTGGAGAAAGTGAAAAAATTGAAATGAGAGAAAAAGAAATTGAAAAAGTAAAAAGAATTATTGAGAATAATCAAAAACAATTAGGAAATGAATTTAGTGTATTAGCAACTGAAGGATATGAAAGAATATATGGAGCATTGACAAAAGCTGAAATGATTACGGAATTAGAAGAAATTATAGAAATGAAAAAGAAAAAAAGTAGTATAAATAAAGAAATAGTAATGAAAGGATGGAATGAAAGACTAATGAAATCACATAAAGATATTAAAACATGGCAAAAAATATTAAAAATGAGAGAAATAATTAGTACAAAACATGAAAATATTAAAAGTTGGATTAGTTTTACAGGAATAATAGATAAAATGGGAGAAGAAGGACTTGCATTTAAAGCATTAAATAAAATAGCAGGACATAAAATAGAAGGTAAAATAGAAGCATTACCAAAAGATAATTTTGAAGTTGGAGTAAAATATTTAAAATTAATGTGGAAAGGTACAAAAGATATTAAAGAAAAAGAAAATATGTATCAATTGTTAGAAGAATATAAAGAAGTTATTAATAAAAATAGTGAAAATAAAGAAGTTAAATCACAAATTTATTCACAACTTGGAGAATGGAAATTAAATATTTCACAAAATAAAAAAGAATTTAATAAAGAAAATATAGAAATTATTTTAAAACATTATCAAGAAACAATTAAATTAAATAAAGACAATTATAAATATTGGCATAGATGGGCATTAATAAATTTTGAAGTAGTTAATTATTATGAAAATACAAAAAAGAAATCAAAAGATGAAATTAATATAATTAGAAGAAATATTAAAGAAATTGAAAATAATACCAAAGAAGAACATAACAAAGAAAAGAAAATTCAAATAGAAGAAGATAAAATAGAAGAAATAATTAAAAAAACAAGAAAAGATGAAAGAGAAATGGTTACATATATTGAAACCACAGTAAAAGCATTTGTTCAATCATTAATTTTAAGTAATAATAAACAAACATTACAAGATACATTAAGATTATTAACAATATTATTTAAATTTGGGAAATACTATGAAGTTGAACATGCAATATCAAGTGGAATTAATGAATTACCTATTGAAATATGGCTACATGTTGTTCCACAAATTATAGCAAGAATTCAATCAGAAGTAGGATCAGTTAGAAGAGTTACAAAAGAATTATTAACAATTATTGGGAAGGCACATCCACAAGCTATTGTTTATGCATTAACAGTAGCATCTAAATCACCAAATAAAGATAGAAAAGATGTTGCAATATCTATTATTGAAAAAATTAAGAAAGAAAGTGGACATCTTGTTCAACAAGCAATGTTAGTTAGTGAAGAACTTGTTGGAGCAGCAATAATTCCATATGAAATGTGGAAGGAAGCGATTGAATTAGCTTCAAAAGAATTTTATATTAATAAAAACTTTAAACAAATGATGGAAGTATTAAAACCATTAATGAAAAAGTTAGAAAAACCAAATACACCAAGAGATGAATCATTTAGACTAATTTATGGGAAAGAACTTAAAGAGGCATTTGAATATTGTTTAAGATATGAAAAAGAATATAAAGAAGGAGAAGAAATTCAATATATAGATGACTTAGCAATAGCATGGGAAATCTATTCAAGAATTTATAATAGACTAAATAATACAATTAATAAAATTAGTAGATTAGAATTATCATTAATTGCACCAAGACTATCTGAAGCACATGATCTTGACATTGCAGTTCCAGGAACATACAAAGCTAATTCAGGAATAATTACTATTAAATCAATATATCCTATCCTAGAAGTAATTCCATCAAAACAAAGACCAAGAAAATTAACTATAATAGGATCAAATGGAAAAGAATATCAATATGTTTTAAAAGGACATGAAGACTTAAGACAAGATGAAAGAGTAATGCAATTATTTGGATTAGTAAATGATTTATTAGCAAGTAATTCCGAAACATCAAAAATTCATTTGTTTATTCATTGTTATGATGTTATTCCATTAAGTCCAATGAGTGGACTTATTGGATGGGTGCCTCATAGTATTACAATTCATCAATTTGTAAAAGAATATAGAAATGGTAAAAATGTTCAAGTTGATACAGAAAAAATACTGTGTAATAGAATTGCACCAAGATATGATAATTTAACTACATTACAAAAACTAGAAGTATTTGAAAGGGTTTTAAAAGATACTAAAGAAAGAGAAATGGATTTAGCAAATGCAATGTGGTTAAAAAGTTGGACATCAGAAATTTGGCTTGAAAGAAGAACAAACTTTACAAGAAGTGTAGCATTAATGTCAATGGTTGGTTATATTCTTGGACTTGGTGATAGACATCCCCAAAATTTAATGTTACAAAAATTTACAGGTGATGTTGTTCATATTGATTTTGGGGATTGTTTTGAAGTGGCAATGAATAGAGAAAAATTCCCAGAAAAAATTCCATTTAGATTAACTAGAATGATTGTTAATGCTATGGAAGTTAGTGGGATTGAAGGAACGTTTAGAATGACATGTGAAAATGTAATGACAGTTCTTAGAGAAAATAAAGATAGTTTAATGGCTGTATTAGAGGCATTTGTTTATGACCCATTAATAGTTACTATTCTTGGAGGAAAAGACCGAACTGAACAAACACCTATTTTATCTCAAGATAATCAAACTACAGAAAAAGAAATTAAAGTTATAGAAAAACAAGATGAAAAAGAGTTATTTAGTGATAATGATGATATGACTGGTGCTTATAATACAAAAGCTGGTAATGTTACTCAAAGAGTTTTAGATAAATTAACAGGAAAAGATTTTGGAAATGAAGAATTAGATGTACATAACCAAGTAGACAAACTAATCCAACAAGCTATTTCACATGAAAATTTATGTCAATGTTATCAAGGATGGTATCCATATTGGTAAACAGAAAGAAAAATACATTACAACATTGTTTAATTTTTTAAAATAATATCTTCAATTTCTTATTTTAATAATATTTTTATTTTCATCAAAATTAAAATTAAAAAATAAAAGAAGTTCAAAAAATAAGAAGAAATTTGGATTTTCGTCACAGAATGACTACAATTCATATTATGGATGAAGAAATAATTCAAAAACTAAGTTCAGGATGTGTTGTTATTGATTGTGAAAGTGTTATTAAAGAATTAATTGAAAATTCAATAGATTCAGGAGCTACAATAATTAATGTAAAATTAAATAATTATGGACTTGATAGTCTTATTGTAGAAGACAATGGGAGTGGAATTAATGAAGAAAACATGGAATTATTAGGAAAAAGACATTGTACATCAAAAATTAATAATATAGAAGAACTTACCAAAGTTAGTACATATGGATTTAGAGGAGAAGCATTATATTGTATATCAAATATGGGAGAAGTTGAAATAATTAGTAGTGATGGAAAAGAAGTTGGAAATTCAATTCAATTAACAACAAGAATTAAAAAGAGAGTTACAAGAAAACAAGGAACAACAATTATAGTTAAAAAGTTGTTTATGAATAATAAAATAAGAAGAGAAGAATTTATGAGAAACAAAAATAAAGAATTAACTAAAATAATTACTTTAATTCAAAACTATGCATTAATGTTAACTGATATTAAAATGATTCTTACTCATCAATTTAAAAAAACAAATATTATTTTACTTCAAAGTAATGGTAAATCATTAAAAGAAAATTTATATAATTTTTTTAAAGGAGATGCAAAAGATGTTACTATTCCTATTGAATTTGAAGAACAAGGAATTAAAATTTCTGGAATTGTATCTAACTTTACAGACAAAGGAAGAACTAATAGTGATAGAATCTTTTTATTTGTAAATAAAAGACCAATTGAACATAAAAAATTACAACAAATCATTACACAACAATGGAGGTCATTAGGTGTTTCATTTAAAAGAAAATATCCTACAGTAATTTTAAATATTTCAGTTGCTGAATATGATCCTAATGTATCTCCTGATAAAAGAAAAGTATTTTTTCTTGATGAAGACAATGTTATTACATTGATGGAAAAATGTATTAGTTCAGTTTGGTCAACTGAATTGTTAGAACAAAGTATCCCAACTATTAATAATGAAGCTTCTCAGTGTGCTTCAAGTGTTATTGAAAATACTTCCCCAACTAAAACATTTAATCTTTCTTTCTTGCCTCAATCAACCCAAAATTTAATAAAAGAACGAAGACAAAAAACAACAACACACGACATTCTTGGAACAGACATTAACAATGAAATTATTGAAGAAAAAGAAAAACCTCTAGTAACTATTCACAAACTTAAAAATGAAAACGAAAGTTTAGAAGAAGAAACTCCAACTTCTTCTATTATCAACACAAATGTTTTACAACAAACAAAAACTATACAAAATGATATAAATGAAAACCAGAATGAAGTCTCTGACATTGAAAAGAAAGAAGATGAGTGGGATGATATTTTGAAAGATGAAAGTTCATTAGAAAGCTCACTACAAAAAATCAGAAACTTCTCATCTAAGTCAAAAGAAAGAAAAAGTGAAGAAGAAGTAGATGAAAGAAAAGCTATATTAAAGAATGAAGAAGATGATTATAAAAAGATTAAAGAAAAAGGAATGAGTGAAGAGGAATATGAAGCAGAGAAAAAAGAAATCAAAGAAATTGAAGAAAAGAAGAAAAACATTATTAGACAAAGAACAGAAGGAAGAATGAATAAAATTAATAATACTGTTGTAGTTTCAGAACAAGTTAATGAAGAGATGGAAGAAGAGAATGATTTAAAAAAACAAATAAAAGATGATAAAGAAATAATCAGCACAAGAAATGGGAAAAGAAAATCAGATAAAAAAGAAATAAAAGAAAGGACAGAAATGCATTATAAAGAATCTTCATCAATTTCAGAAGAATTTAATGAGAAAAATGAAGAAGAAAATGAAGAAAAAAATAAAGAAGAAAATATAAAGATTAATATAGCTAGTAACAAATTGGTTATTGAAGCGATTGAATTAAAAGCACTAGTAGAACATATGATTTTATGTCATAAAGATTATCCAATATGTCAACCAGAAAGAACAGAAGAAGACATATTAAAAATCCCACGGAAAATGAAAAAGACAACTCTTGAAGAAATTGAAATTATTGGACAATTCAATAAAGGATTTATAATTGGGAAATTAGGATATGACTTGTATATTATTGATCAACATGCAGCAGATGAGATTTATAATTATGAGACATTATTGAAGAAAGACAAATTAAGTGTTCAAACATTAATTAGTCCATTACAAGTATCAATGAGTTCGGATGATGAAATATTTGTTCAAGAAAATATAGGACTTTTTCCACAATTTGGGTTTGAAGTAACATTTAGAGAAGATAAAGAAGCAACACAACGAGTATTTCTTACTAAAGTTTACCATAGAGGAAAGAATTTCTTTGGAGCAAATGAATTTAGTGAATTAGTTCAACAATTAAAAGGATGTAGAAATGACATGAAAGTCATTATTAAAAAGAAACATAAAATCTTTGCTACGGAAGCATGTAGAATGAGTATTATGATTGGAGATTCATTAGGAAGAGAAGAAATGAAAAAAATAATAAGTCGTCTTGTTGGATTAAATAAGCCATGGCACTGTCCACATGGAAGACAAACCATTCGACATTTATGGGACTTAAGAAGATCATATAATGAAATTGCAAAAGAAACAAAGTAACAATTTTGTAGAATAATTTTTTAATGTTTTAAAGACAAAAAGAAAACTAAAAAAGAAATAAGAAAATGCCAGTTGTTCAGATCAACAACTTAACTAATAATGGTATTATTACAGTTAATGGAAGTTATTATGTTCAAGATAAAAGTATAGAAAAAGAAGGGAAAAAAGAAAGAAAAAAAGAAGAAGAATCAGAAGAAGAACTTGGAGATAAAGCATTAATGGAAATTTTGAAACAAACAGTTATTGGAAAAGAAGAATATGAAGATAATATTGTAACAGAAGTAGATTCATTAAACAAAAGAATTGATGAATTTAATAATAATATTGCAGTTTATGATGATTTAATTAGAGAAGAAGAATTAAGACGTACATGTGGAACTGGTATTGATGAAGGATGGATTAGTACATTACAAGAATGGATAGGAAGTAAAACATGTAAATTAATTTATGATTCAAATGAAGGGTTTACAGGAGATATATTATGGGCAATATTAAGAATAGTAAATTCAGTTGCATTTATTATTGAAACAACTGAAGGAGATGTATTTGGATCATATCATAGTGTTATTCCAACAAAACAACATTATCCTGTAATAACAGATAATGCACATTTTTTATTTAGTTTTAGAAATAAAATAAATACAGGACATATTAAATTTAATGTTCTTTCTACAAATAATAAATTACTTGACATTTATAAAGGTTCTAAGTCATGGGTTTTTGGAATAGAAAAAGGATTTTGGATTCATTCTAAACAAAATAAATCATATATTCCATCTACATGTGCAAATGGTGAACTTACACAAGGATATGAAGATCCAACAGGATTAGGTGGAATTATATTTACTGGAGGTGTTTATCCAGCAAGATTTACAACAAAAAGAGTGATTGGACTTGATTTTTTAATAGAAGAAAAACAATAAATTTTTAGAGTTCTTGTATTTTCAATTTATTTTAATTTTAAACCTTTAATTAATTTTTAAATGTAATATTATTTTTAATATCAAACTATGATGAAATTATATTTGATTATTTATAAAAAGAAAAATTAATTAAATTTAATTGTTAAACATCTTGTGCAACTACTCCACCTCTAGTTTTTCTTGGTTTTCTATCAGGCTTTGTTGGTTGTTGTTGTAAAGCTAATAATGCAGCTGGATTAATATCAGTTGATTTTTGACTAATTTTCTTTTGTTCATTTGTTTCTTTAAATGCTACTGATGCCGACCTATTCTTTCTATCAACTCCTTTTTTTACCATCTTTTTATTTGCCATTACACTATTAATTTTATCTTGTTCTTCTTTACTTAATGGAATGATTGTTCCTTTAGCAAGTGGGAACATTCCATATCTACCATTAATTCCACCAACAGCCCATCCTTTTTTATGTTCCCAATATACTTCAACTATTTCATTACTTTTTAGTCTTAATAATTCTTCTTCTTCTGGCATAAAATCACTAACCATTCTTACTTTTTTAATTGCCGTAAATTTAGTTTCTCCTGAAATTAATTCATAACAATGAATATATCCTCTATTAATTGCTGACTGTTGTGCACTTAACTTTCTAATATCTATTTGTGTTTTATCACATCCATGTTCTATTAATTTTTTGACTGAAACTGCATCATTCATTACTACAGCAACATGTAATGGTGTTCTTCCACATCCATCTCTTGCATTTAATGTTTCTGGTGCTGCTGCAATAATATCATCAATAAGATGAACCATTCCATAAACACAACAATAATGAAGTGGTGTTAATTTATTTTTATCTCCAACAAATAATCCTGTTTTACAACTTCTTCCTATTTGTCTGACTAATGATAAATGTCCACCTAATACCGCATAATGAAATGGTGTTCTTCCACTTTTTGTTACTTCTGTCATACTAAGTCCAAATACTTCTAAATTTTCTACTATATTTTTATATCCACAAAGACATGCTATATGTAATGGTGTTTCTCCAATACTATTTGCCTTTTTAATGATTTCAGGTGCAATTCCTCTTATCCATTTTAATATTTCAATTTGATTATTTTGAACTGCATAATGAACTGCTGTATTTCCACTATTATCACAATCTCCAATTACTGATGGATCATCTTTAAATAATACTTCTGCCATTTTCTTTTGTCCATATCCACATGCTAATAAAAATGGCGTTGTTCCTGACATTGATTTAACATATAAATCACTTCCCATATCTCTTAAATATTTAAATGATTCAATTGCTCCACATGCAACAGCTATCATTAATGGTGTTAATCCATTTGAATTCTTTTTAACTAATAAACTTTTTCCTCCTGTAACAAAGAAAAAGTCTAAGATTTTTTTATCATTTGATTTAACACTATGATGAAATGGAAAATTCCCATTTGTATCCATTTTACTTAATGCATTTGGAAATTTATTATATATTTTTTGTATTAATTCTATATCACATCCAACTGCAGCTGCATAATGAAGTGCTAATTGTCCATAATTATCTGGAATATTTCCTGTTGATACTTCTAATAATATTTCTACACTTTCTTTATGTTTATTTCTAATCCCAAGAAGAAGTGGACTTTGTCCCATACAATTCTCTACCATTGGTGATGCTCCTTTCTTTAATAACCATGCAACAGTTTTATCTGACCCATTCATTGCTGCAAAATGAAGTGGTGTACTACAACTTGGATTGACTGTATTTTCTATCATATCATCAACATAACATAATTCATCAATAATATTTAATATTTCTTCATCATTACAATACCCTGCATAATGAAGTACTGTATATCCTGAATTATCAGTTGAACTTAAATTTTGGAATGGATTTGTTAATGACTTAATTATTACTTTTGCTACTTCTGCTTTTCCTGATCTTAATGCTACAAGAACTGCTGTTTGTCCATATTTATTAACTAATGATTTCGATGCATTATGTTTAATTAATTCTTTTGCTGCTTCTACATTTCCTGTTTGTGCAGCAATCATAAGTGCAGTATTTCCAAAATCATCTTGATAATTAACATTAATTTGATAATCAACAATTAAACTTTCTATAAACTCTACTTTATTATATAAGACTGAAACATGTAATGGTGTAACATCTTCATTACTTTCAACTTCTTTATTAGGTAAGAATTTCATTTGATATTGTGTAGGACATAATCCAATTTCAAATGGTGAACCTAAGCTTTCCATATTAACTAGAACTTGTATTTCTTTCTTCCTTTTTTTGTTATTTTTTTTTAACTTTTTTTAACTTTTTATTTCCTTATTTATGAAAAAAGAAAAAAAAACTTTATAATTTAATTTAAATGTTGTTTAATTTCTTATTTTTATATTATTAATTAATTCTTTTCTTTTTCTTATTTCAGTTTATTGAAACTATCGTTAATGATGGATATCTTCGTATTTCTTTAAAACAACTAGCATCAATAGGTCCTTCACTTAAAATAACTCCATTCTCACTTTCATAAAATTTTATTCCTTTTTTCATTGCTTTTTCAATATCAATATAAATTACTACATTACATGTACTTCTCATTCCACTTTGTTCTTCTTTTAGGTCTTTTGGAAGTCCTTGTGCCATATGAATATGAAGTCTTCCCATTTTTTGTAATCCATTTTTGATTATTGAATTAAGATGTTTCATATATGTTCCATGAATTACAACTGGATATAATGTCGCATCTCTTATCTCTTTCATTGCTACTTCAACTTTCATTGAATGTCCTTGATTCGCTCTAATTCTCTTTTCTTCTCATTCCCCTTGAATTGAGTATCTTTTCTTTTGGTCTTTTGCCACAATATTTATTATTTCTTCTTCACTAACTCCTTTCATTTGTCTATTATTTAATAAATCTTTAATTAATACCCATCCATCATTTGTAATTGGAATTCTTTCTTTAATTGCTCCATGTCGAAGAATATACGATAGTCTTTTACTTATTTCTACATCACTTTGGTATTTGTTCATTACTAATAGAAATAATTTAAAGTTCAAAATGAAGTTTAATGACTCATAAATTCTTAAAAGAAAACTATGAATTAGATAATTAAGATGGTTTGTCCATTTTATTTCAATTTAATAGAAAAATATCTCATCATTAGGGAAAAAAGAATCATAACAAACAAAAAAGACGCCAAGGTCAAAAGATAGAAAATATCACTACGTCTATTGATATTGACACATATTTAAATTGTATTATGATTGATCCAGAAATTCTTTCTATTACAACATCTCCTCATCCACAAGAAATTAAAATTTCAATATTTAATTATTCAGATAATGACTTTAAAGTGTCATTCTCAAATAAAGACATTGGACTTGAATGTAACAATGAAATTGTACAAAATGATAAAACCACTATAATACAAAAACAAGTTACTTGTCCATCTATTCCAAATGAACATATTATTTTACCAATTATAGTAACATTTGTTTCAGTTACTAATAAACAATTAGAGTTTCATAAAACATTTAAAATAGAAATAAAAGAAGGAGAAGAAATGAAAGAAATGAAAGAAATAAAAGAAATAAAAGAAATAAAAGAAATAACAAACAGTACTATAGACAAAGAAAATAACCAAAATGAAAAGAATGTTAATATTTGTATTAAAAATGAAGAAATTAACGTCATTGGAAAAGAAACACCAACAAAAATAGAAGTTGATAATCAAGAAGATATTCCTATTAGAATTGAAATAGAAGAAGACAAAAATCAAATATTTACATTTAAAACAAAAAAAGAAGTTATTCAAGAAAAAACAAAAAGAATAATGAAGGAAAGTTTTATTTTATTCAAGAAATATAGTGAAGGACCATTTGATGTAACATTTAAAATTATTAAAGAAAGTACGGGAGAATGTATTGGACGTAAGAAAGTTTGTTTTGAAAGTATAGTAATTTATCCAGAAGAAGAAATAAAAAAAGAAAATGGAGAAAATAAGAAAGAAAAAGGAAAGATTGAAGACTTCCAAATAACTGTTATGAATTGTTCTAAGAATAAAAGAGAATATGAAGTAATGATTTTTATTGGGAATTATAGTGGAGAAAAGGTTTTGGTTAAATATAAAGAGAAAGAACATATTAAAGGAATAAATATTAAAGGAAGTTTTAAACAAGAAATGGGAAGTGGAGAAGAAAGTTATATGATATTTGGAGTAACAACAAATAAAAAAGAAAGAAACACTGAAATAGGATTTTTATTTGAACTTGAAACAAAGAAAATAATAGAAGAAAGAGAAGTTAAATGTCAAATTCATAAAGAAGAAGATAAAAAAGAAGAAATAGAATTTCCTAAACTAAGTAATACAGAAAGAAAAGAAACACAGAAAGAAGAAAACAAAGAAAATAAGAAAACAGACTCAACTCTTTTGATGAAAAAACAAAAGAAAAAACTTGAAAGTGAAAGTTATTTAAAAGAATGCAATTGGTATAATCTTAGAAAAGATTTAAATAAAGAAGAAGAAATAATATGGATAATTACAATGATAGAACATATTAAAGAATATGAAGGAATTGATATTAATATATTTAATATGATAATTAATGAAAATATGGAATTTAGAATGAAACAAATAAAAAGAAATGAAAGAAAACTAGAAGAACGAATTGACCAAATGACATCTTTCTTTCTGAAACAAGAAACAGAATCAAAAATAAAAGAAGAAGAAGAGGTATTTGCAATAGGAACAACATTATTATGTGGATTAATTGGACAAATACCAAATATTCCATATTGGATATGGGATGAACATTTAGAAAAAAATGAAGAACCAATTAAATTAGATGAATTAACCATTGACCAAAAGTACCAAAAACTTGGAGAGTTATGTGTTCAATGTTGGAGAGGGACAGTAAACTATAATGAAATTAAATTAAAACTAAAGGAATATACAGATTCAATAGAAGTTAATGAAATTATTGAAGGAATTAAAAAGAAAGCAAAAGAATATCAAGAAAAAGAAATAAAACGAAGAGAAGAAGCACAAATTATACTTGAAGAATTTAACAGAAAATACCCAATGACTACCATAAACACAGATAATAAACCAGTCACAATAATAAAAAAGTTTGAACAACCAATTCAAACAGTTCAGAAACAAACTATTCCACTTGTTTTACAAAAATATGAAAGGCAAGAATTCCCACCATTTAAAGAGGGAGATAGAATACCATCTAGAAGTCAGGAATTAAAGAAAATTGTTGAAGAAACAAAAGACTTTATATTAAAAGAATGTCATGCAAAGGATATTAAACAAGTTAGATTTTATAACAGAAAATTAAATAAGCCAAGTCAACCACCATTTTACCAAAATCAATCTAATATATTAATTGTATTCAAAATAGATACTAGTGTATTTGGATTATATATTAATGATAAAACACAAATAAACAAATCAACATTTATATTAACAAAAGACAATTATAAAATAATGTCAATTCAAAACCAATATAATACACAACCATTTGTATTTACAATGATTAAAGCTGAAAATAAACTACAATTTTTTGGAAAATCACATGAAAATGTAATGGAATTAAATAACATTTTCTTAATTACAAAAAAAGACTATAAAATGATAATTTATGAAAAAACACTTAATCAAAGAATGACGTGTGGTCTTCATAACCCATCAGAATATATTAGTCTAAACAAAAATCCTATTTCATCAACAAAAAAATTAGTTGATGAAATAATCTATTATGATTTAATAATTTAATAATTAAATTTTATTATTACTATATTAATTGTTTTATAAAAAGAAAAATTGAAATTAATTTTTGAAAAATAATCAACTTAGTAATCTTGTCCTTGTTTTGGTTGTGGAGTTGGATTTAATTTAATTAAATCATCAATTCTTAAAATTGTAATAGCCGCTTCTGTAGCAAATTTAATACACTTCACTTTACTTACTGAAGGTTCAACTACTCCTGCTTCAAGATTATTTCGTATCTCTCCTTTTATTAAATCTAATCCATCATAACATGGTTTATCTATTTTTTGTGCTCCATAATGTCTCTTTCTCATTTGTGAAAGTAATTCACTTGCATCTTTAGCTGCATTTTGTGCAAGTACTTTTGGAATTACACAAAGTGCATCTGCAAATGCTTGAACAGCTAATTGTTCTCTTCCTTCTAATGTCGTAGCATATTCATTTAAATGAACTGATAATGCAACATCTGTAGCTCCTCCTCCAACTATTACTGTATTACTTTCAAGTACTCTTCTTAATACACATAATGCATCATGAAGTGATCTTGACATTTCATCTAACATTGTTGCATTTGCCCCTCGAAGAAGTACTGTAGCTGATCCTCCATCTGAACATCCTCTAAGAACAATAAGTTCATTATCTCCTACTTTTTCTTGTTTAAATGTGTCACATTCTCCTAAATTACTCTTATCAAATTCTTCTATTCCTTCTAAATTAACTAATGTTGAAATTACTTTTGCTCCTGTAGCTTTTCCAATTCTATGTAAATCTCTACTTGATACTCTTTTTGCAACTGCAATTCCTTTCTCTACAAAATATTGTGTACATAATTCATCAAGTCCTCCTGATATAAAAACTACATTTGCTCCTGATTCTATAATCATTTGAACTCTTCTTATTACTATTTTCATTTCTTCTTCTTTAAATTTATCAATTTCTTCTGGATTATTTGTCACTATTTGAATTCCTTGTCTCATCTTTTCTTTCATTAAATCAATTTCAAGAACAGCAACTTTACATCCTTTAATTTCTTTTGGCATCTCTTCACTTGCAATAACACAATTGACTGCACATCCATCAATAAGAACTGACTCTTTACTTGATTTCCCATATGCCTTTAATACTGTAACTCCACTTACTGGATATTTAGCTTTCCCTTTTTCATTTCTTTTAACTTTCTTTATTGTATCTACTGCTAATTTACTAAAAAATTCTCCTTCTTCTCCTCCAATTACTTTTGATGATATACATGTTGCTGCAGCTTCTTCAAGAACTTTCCTATCAAGTTCATTTGTATGAACAACAATTTTTCTAATGAATTTAACTGCTTCTTGCATTGCAAGTCTAAACCCTTGAATTACTGTTGATGGATGAATTTTTTGTTTTATTAATTCATTCCCATATTTTAATAATTCTGCTGCAAGAATAACAACTGTAGTAGTTCCATCTCCTACTTCTTTATCTTGTAAATCTGCAAGTTCTACTAATACTTTTGCTGCTGGATGTTCAACTTCTAATAATTTTAATATTGTTGCTCCATCATTTGTAATTGTAACATCTCCAATATCATCTACAAGCATTTTATCAAGTCCAACTGGTCCAAACGATGTTTTAACAACATTTGCAATTGCAACCGCTGCCATAACATTTTGTGTTCTAACATCTGCTCCACTTTCCCTTTCCCCATTCAATGGAAGGTCTGTTCTTGCGTATGCCATTCTTCTCTATTTATACTTTCTAGTTCAACTTTACTTTTTTCTCTACTAACTTTTTTATTATTTTTATAGTTTTTCCCTTCTTAATTCTGAAACACTTTTTCCCTAATCCTAAAATTTAACTTATTTGTTATTCATTTTTTCTATCATCTTTTCAATTTCTTTTATTTCTTCGTCTATTCTTTTATTTTCTTCTGTCTTTTTCTTTTTATTAATTATCTCTTTGTCTTTCTTTCCTCCTATTCTTTCTTCTCCTTCTCTTTTCTTTTCGGTTTTTTTAAATTTAAACCTTCCTTTAGTTATCCCAAATTCTTCTTCAATCTCTTGGATTTTCTTTTCTTCTTCTTTAGTCTCTTTTCTCTTTTCCTTCTTTTCAACTTTAACCCACTCAACCTTTAATTCTTCTCGTTGTTTTTCATTTTGTTGAATCATCTGAATAGTGAATTGCTTTGCTAAATCATCTGTTTCTTCTGCTTTGATGCTCCGTTGCATTTTCTTTCTTCTTTTGTCAATTACTAAAAAAGATGAACTTGATTATTATCATTATGGAATTTAGAGTTGCTGAACAATATCGTTTGGTTCATAAAATAGGTGGTGGTTCTTTTGGTGAAATTTATTCTGCTGTTGATGTTACTGATAATTCAAAACGTGCTGTGAAATTAGAAAAGAATGATAGAAAACCACAACAACTAGCATTTGAACATCGTGTTTATTCCTTGTTTATTGATGAAATAGGATTTCCAAAGATTTATCATTATGGAACTGAAGGTGATTATAATACTTTAGTGATGCAATTATTAGGTCCTTCATTAGAAGACTTAATGAAAGCAAAACATCAATTAACACTTCTTTCTGTATGTTTAATTGCAGAACAATTATTATCACGTTTTGGTTTGTGTTAATTGTATTAGAAATTGATTTACATCATCTATTTATCTTATAGAAGTTATTCATAGCAAATCAATAATTCATAGAGACGTAAAACCAAACAATTTCTTATTAGATAATAACACAATTTATGTGATTGATTTTGGATTAGCCAAAAGATATCGAAGATTTGAAACAAGACAACATATCCAAATGAAAGATGGATATGGTTTGGTTGGAACAGCACGGTATGCTTCTATTCATGCACATCTAGGTATGGAACTCTCAAGAAGAGATGATTTGGAGAGTTTAGGTTATCTTTTTGTTTATTTGTTGAAAGGGAGTTTACCATGGCAAGACTTATCGTCTTCTCCTGATGGTAAATACACAGGTATTGGTGATATGAAAATGAAAATAATCCCATCTGAACTTTGTAATGGTCTTCCTCATGAATTTGTTGATTATTTGGAATATACTAAACAACTTCAATTCAATGAAAAACCTGATTATACTGCATTACGTTCTATGTTCCATAATTTACTTGTTACAATCAATCCAGATAAAGAAGACTGGCATATCGAATCAATCTAATTTATTGTCTCTACCAATTTCATTTTATATTTAGTCTTATATATTTTTTTGTAAAGAAATAATTGAATTATAAGACAATACTCCCTAACTATGATAGTCTTGATATACTTAATTTATTTTGTTTATCAGTTATATCACTAAACTCATGTTTGTTCAACCAACAATGTTACAATAAGTATCACAAAATTTATACATTCAATATCTTTTTTAATAATAAAAAATAAATTATGTTGAATTAATGATAAAATGACTATGAAATAAGACTTTCAATGATGGTATTGTTAAAATGGATTAATAACTCTAATCACAATCAATAGTTTATTTTTTGTTGTTTGAATGTATTATTAACATTATTGTTCTTATAAAAACACTTCTTGTTTATAGTAATATGAATTTGTTAATGAAATAGAAATATTCAATAATGAAGTGATATGACTTTTCGTTTTTGTTGTTTTCATTTGTTTCTTATTTGTAAGTATTTATTTCTTTAACTCTTTCTGTTTTTTTTTATGTGAAGTGAAAGTTAGAATAACTAACAATTCTATTGTATTTTTCATTTCATCTTTATCACTTTTATAACGTTTGATGTAATAAGAATGTTCTTGATGTTGACAACGTTTTATGACAATTGAGTTTATTAATAAACAATAAAATATAACAAAGATGGAAGTACTATATGTAATGAACCAATTAAGTGACTATGAAATAAGAACACAGTCAGTTTGCTATTATCAAAGGGTTTTGGAGGAATAATAATGGTGACAATGAAGAATGATAACACGAGAATATTGTTAATTCTAATCATACAGCAGTTGAGTAAATTGAGTTAATAAAAAAGAAGAGAGTTAAAAGGACCAATATGTTTGTGAAATACAAATATGCAATAAGAAGAAAGAAGACAAAATCCAAAGAATAGATTGAGAAGAGAGGATAAAGTTACAAGAGAAATTTTGATAAAGAAAAAGAGAAAAGATGAATAAAAATAAGAAACAAATAAAGAGAACTAAAACTAAAAAATTAAAGGACAAAAGAAAAAAAATGAGCAACACAGCGTTTGTTTAAAATAAATAAAAAAGACAAAAATATTGAAAAGAGTAGAGAACAAAGGATTCAAGACATATCGTTATTAGTTAGTGATTCTAATTCAAATAGAGATTTAGTTGAAACAACAAATATAAAGTTGATAGATCCATTTTTTGAGGCGTTATTTTCATTAGACGTTTGTTATAAAGAAAATAAAGAAAACAAAGAAAAGATATAATCATATAGGACACTGAATATTGGCTTAAAGAACAAGCAGTTGTTTCATTAAATCGATTAATGAAAACACATCGAGTTGATAAGAATTCAGGAGTTATTAGAGAAAGTTCAATGTTTTATGCACATCTTGAAGGGTATATTGAAGAAATCAAAAATATCATTACAGAAACAAAAAAAAGTGATAAAAAAGAAGCACTTGCACAAAAATATCTAATACAAATATGGAGTGAAGCAGTAGGATGGATGGTACATTCACATCAATATAATATCATTAAAGCACTTTATGAAAAAGGAGTTTTAGAAGAAGTTATTAAAAAAATGACACTAGAAGAATATAAAGAATCAACAATACTAATTAAAGCAGGAACAAGAATAATTTTAGAGATAATTTCAATGGAATTAAAAGAGATTGTAATTGGAGTAATTGAGAAGAGTGGAATAATGGAATTTATTAAGAAAAAGATTGAAGAAAAGAATCAAGAATTTAAATCATTTTGTAATGAAATAATATTTAAAATGCAAGAAAATAAAGATAAAGAATATGAAACTATTTTAGAAGAAGCAGGGTTAAATGGAGAAAATATAATTAAAGAAGCTAATGAATATCATGAAGAAATAAATAAAGTACTTATGGAAGCAAGTGAAACAACAGGAGAAATTGAAGATGAAATAGAAGATGAAGATTATGGATATGATGAAGATGAAGAAGATGAAGACAACGAAGATGATGAAGATGATATGACAGCACAAATGGAAGACTTTTTTGAAGAAATTAAAAACAAACCAGAAATGTTAGAAGAAATGGAAATTGATTCATCAATTCCAGACATGAAAGATGAACCATTAATGCCAAAAGATTTACCAGTATTTAGTAAAAAGTTTGAACATTTGTATGATGAAATTAATCGTCAAGATAATTTGTTTGTTTAAAAGAATAAATTTAATTAAATTCATTCTTTTTCTCAAAGGTTTGAAAGATAGTTTTGGAATAAAAAATAGAAGAAAAGACAACCATATTTAAAAGAAGTAATATAAAAATAAAGAAGAAATAATGTACAAAAATAAAAATCAACAAGAACAATATATAAATTCTAATGAAACACTTCAAGATGAAGAAATTGAAAAAGAAATTATTAAGGATGAAGAAATAACAATAACAAATAGAGAAGACATTGAAGTATTTTCATTAGAAAAAGAAGAAAGAAATATTAAACGAATAAAAGAAATAGAAGAAATTAAAACAACACTTAATTATAAGGATTTAGATGATATGATGAAGATGTTGAGAAAAAAAGAAAGAGAAAGTCAAAGTAAAGATATGTTTATTCCTTATATTCAAAACACAGACTTTGCAGGAATTTTATTAATGGAAGAAGCATCAGACCCAAGATATACATATTCACTTTCATCAGGGGTAGATGTTTGGAGAAGAAAAGTTAATGGAAGTACATGGAATGGAGTAGCACGAGCTATTATTCCTAATATTACACCTAAACAAATGAGTGAATTATATTGGGATTATACAAAAAGAAGAAAATGGGATAGTTTTTATACAGTAATTGAAGATCTTGAGATTTTAGGAAATGGAAATAGGGTAAGTAGAACCGCAACGTGGACGCCTAAAATGTTTAAACAAAGAGATTATGTACATGTTAGAGAAGTTATTGAAACTGAAAATTGTTGTATTGGGGTTTATCTTCCAGCAGAACATAAAGAAGCACCAATAGGAATACAAGGATTTATTCGAGGATATGTTAATTTTAGTGGGTTTGTATTTAGAAAACAAGGAAGGGATTGTTTATGTACATTAATGACTCAAACAGATATTTCAGTACCATTACCTGATTTTTTGATTAACAAATTTGTTGCACTTGCAGTTAGACTATATGTAAGATTAATGAAAAAAGCAGGACTAGTATATGGAAAAGTAGGAAGATAATCAAGTGTTTTTTGGCAGATACGAATTTGTTTTTTTCGATGAACAAGAAAAGCAAGATAACTATTTTAGGGAAAAAAGTAAAAATAGAGAAGAGAAGAAAAAGAGGGGAATAATAAAGTATAGTAAGGAAATAATTAGATAAAGAGGGGAAAAAAGAAACTACAAAAGCTAAACGCAGTTCAAAAAATGACTAAGGTTGTTACTATGCGTATAAGATTCCCAAAAACTTATCCAGTTATTTATAAAACATTACGAGTTGATGGAGAATTAACAGTAAAAGCATCAATAGAATTTATTGCAGAAGCATTACATATGCCACCAGAAGATGGAATTGGATTATATTTACCATCAGCAAAAAAGTGGTTAGACAATGGCACAACACTAGCAACGTATCAAGAAGACATTGGAGAAGAAGTTTGTTTAATACATTTTTGAAGAAAATGAAAGAATGTATATTAACGAGATAAGGATAATGTCGAATATAAATATTTGAATGGAAAAGACGAAGAAGAAGAAGAAGGTAATAAAAAAAAGAAAAGTGGAGGATGTGTTTTCCTTTAAATGTTGTGATTTTCGAATTAATATTTCAAAAAACTGGTTTTTTTTTTCTTTTTTTTTTTTTAATTAAATAATCAATTTTGAAAGAAAAAGGGAAGATACTTAATTTTTAATTACAAGATCAATTTAGTGTCTTTTATTCTTCTTTAAAGATTTTTGGTATTAAATTTTTATCTGTCATATTCCCTTTTTATAGCTGGTTGATTTAAATCTAAATTGTCTCTTTTAGTACTAGTTATAAATGGATGTGATAAACATTCTTCAATGTCATATCTTTGTTTTGGATTTACAATTAACATATGACTAATTAAATCTTTAAGTTCAAGTGAAATATTATCCCAATATGGAGAAATAAATTGATAATATCCATTTAATATTAAATCAAATAATTCTCTATTTCCTCCTTTTCCATCTTCTGTTTCATTTTCACTTCTAAATGGTTGAAACCCACATGCAATTGTATATAATACTACACCTGCACTCCAAATGTCAGTTTTTTCATTATAATTTTTTCCACTAAGTAATTCAGGAGACACATACATTGGTGTTCCACAAATTGTTTCTGCAATACTTTTTTTTGTGTCTTTACTTAAACCAAAATCTGTTATTTTAATAATACCATTTGATGTTAATAAGATATTCTCTAATTTAATATCTCTATGAATTATTTTATTTTGATGTAAATATTTAAGTCCATAAAATATTTGTTTTATTACAATTCTACATTCTTTTTCATTTAAACATCCTTTATTTAGTGTTAATTTAAATAAATCTCCTCCTTCAACTCTTTTTATATTAATTTTCTTTATTCTTTTTTTATTTCTCAATAATAACAAACAATTCAAATACTAAATAAAAATATTGTTGTGTAAGAAATACATCATGTAATTGAATAATATTAATATGATGAAGGTTTTTCATTATAGAATATTCATTTAATACTGCTTTCTCATTTTCTCCTATTTCTTTCATTTTTTGACGGTCAATAATTTTTATTGCATATTTTTGTTTATTGTCTTTTTCTATTACTTCTCTTACCCTTGCAAAATTCCCACTTCCTAAATATCTTCCAATATCATATTTATTTTGTGGTCCTCCTTCTATTTTCTCTTTTTTTTGTTCTTCAAATGGAATAAATATATATGATATACTTCCTTCATCTTTTTGTGGGTCAAGCATTGAGATTTCATCATATAATTTAATTTCTTTTGTTGCCATTCTTTTCCCCATAATTTCATTATTTATATATGTTCCATTTGTTGATGTATCAATGCAAATGTATTTCTTTTCATTTCCTTCTTGTTTAATTTGTATAATGAAATGTCTTGATGAGATTGTAAGATTTCGTATTTTCATTGACGGATTATTTCTTCCAAACAAACTGGTTGTGTCATAAAGTGGAATGGATGGATATTTTGGAGTAGTACATTCTAATACACCCCATGCCGAATCACTCATTTTGTGTTTTCCAATTCTTTTTCTTATTTTTTGTTTTTATATTTCAGAGGATGAAAAAATAATATTTTTATCTCCTTGGAAAATCTTTTTCCTCATTGATAGAGATAGTTTTTTTCTTAATAAAAGTGTTATTGTATTTATTTTACCAAAATAATCTTTATCTTAAAATTAAATGAAAAGTACAAACTCATAAATCACAGTTATCACTTATCATGTCTAACCAAAATGAACAACAATGGGAAAGAGTTCAAGAACAGGTATTTAGAAATTGGGTTAATTCATTAGTAAGTCAAAAGGGAATAGGGGTAGTAAATAATATTAAAACAGGATTAACACCTACTTGTTTTAAGGAATTTGCAGAGATATTAGTTGGAAAAAGTATTGGGAAGAAATTAAATAATGGGAATGGAAGAATCTATGATATTAATAACTATTCAGAAATTTTAGGCTTTTTAAAAGAAAATAATATTGATGTTGCAGGATGTTCAGCAGAAAATATGGCAGATAGTGAAAGTGGATATAAATTTATTCTTGGAATGATGTTTTCATTATATAGAAAGTATTGTATTTGTAGAAGTGTTTCAGATGAAAGTAACAATTTCAAAACAGGAAATAAAGTAGATAGTATGATTTGGGATTGGGTTAATGAAAAAGTTCAAGGGTATGGACTTCATGTTGACAATCCATCAACATCATTTGGAGATGGAAGAATCATACTTGCTCTTGTTGATAGTTTCATGGGAAATCAAATTTATCAAAGTTATCAAAATTGTACTAATGAAGAAAGAGTTAAAAAAGCTATTGAAATGGCACATGAAAATATGGGAATTGAAGAATTATTTAGTGTAGATGAAATAGTAAGATGTCAAACAGATGAACGAGCAATGATGTTATATATCTCATTATTTTCACAAGTCTTTAAAACAAAAGAAATGATGGATAAACAAAACATGAGTTATGTTTCAAGAGAACGAGAGACAGAAGAAGTTATGAAAAGACAACAACAAGAAATAGAAGAAAAAGAGAAACTTCTTAAACAACAAGAACAAGCATTTGAAGAAGAGAAAAGAGCTATGAATTGTAATCTCCAAGAGCAGATGGAACAACAGAAAATAGAACATCAAAGGGAATTAGAAAGGATGAAACAAGAGCAAGAAAATATGAGATTAGAACAAGAACAATTAAGACAAGCACAACTAAAAGAATTGGAAGAACAAAAACAACAAATGATGAAAGAACAACAACAAATGAAAGAACAACAAGAACAAGAGAAATTAAGAATGCAACAAGAATTAGAACACAATCAAAAAATGATGGAGGAACAAAAACGAAGAATGATGGAAGAACAAGCAAGAATCAAACAAGAAAGTCAATGTCCACCAATGCAAGGATTTCCACAACAACAACCACCTATGCAAGGATTTCCACAACAACAACCACCTATGCAAGGATTTCCACAACAACCACCAATGCAAGGATTTCCACAAAAAAATCAATATCCACCAATACATGAAAATCCACCACAAGCACCAATTGGACAAGGAAATGTTTGTTATGTAGAATTTGGAGGACCTGTTCCACCACAAGCACCTATGGGAATAGGAAACAATGGATATATGGGATTTGGAGCAGTCGAACCAATGGGAGGAAATATTTATCCACCTGGACATCCATTATATGGAGTTAACACAACAACAAGTTATCCATATTACTAATTGAATCATGAAAAGGAAAAGATTTTGATTAGATTTTTACAAAATAAAATGATAAGATGATAAATTCATAACATAACTCTTAGTTAAAACAATGAAAAGAAAATATATCACCACAATTCTTTCATACCTTCCAATTGAAGAAATAAAAAAAGGAGAATTAATTAATTCTAAATGGTCTAAGATAATTTCTTTAATGAATAAATATTATAGTCTCACTGGAAACCAATGGAATAAACAATCATTAGAATTTAAATACCTTGATTGTTTGACTTTAGTTAAAAATAGAGAACCACTTATTTCTCTTCCAAATTGTCATATCTCTAATTTCCATTTTTATGCACTTTCTCTTTATGGGATTAATGAACTTCAATGTATTGTTTGTCCAGAAAATATCATTCATTTAGAATTATATTTTATAGACTCTCTTGGACCTATTTGGTTAGGTCAGTTAAAGGCTTTTGTTAATCTCAAATATTTGAAGATAATATCATTCATGTATGAAATGGATTGTTCAAATATTTCATTTATTCCTCATTTAACAGTTTTTAAAACAAAATCAAAAGGTGGAAATGCTTTAGTGTTAATGACTTCTCTCAAAGAACTGGAATGTAAAGATGATATAAACATTCAATATTGTCATAAATTAAAAATTCTTACTCTTCATTTAGACCCATCTCAGTTACTTGAAAGAACTTATTCCTTCAATTCATTAAAGAAATTAAAGTCTTTGAAAAGATTAGTAATAAAAGACGACTTATTTAAAAGAAGTTATTCTATGTTTGATCTCAATCAATTAGTTAATTATTCTAAACAAATTAAAATTATCTTTATGTTAAAACATGTTGTTATTCCATTCAATTACACTCCATGGTTTGATTATTCTGAAATGACTTTCTGTCTTAAAAATGAATCTACTTTTTCTTTATTAAATTCATTGAATTTGAATGTCAAAAATAAACATATCTTTATGGATCGTTTAGAAATAAGTAGGTGTGATGAACTTACTATTAATTCTCTTTTAAATTCCATTGAAACTAAAACTATCAAATTTATTGATTGTACTATTTGTTTCAATAAAATCAATTTCTATCCTCTTCAAACGTTAACTTCTCTTTGGATTAAAAGAATGAAATCATTAGATCTTCTTCTATTAAATCAAATGAAACAACTTAATTCTCTTCGTCTTGAATATATTGAAGAAACAAAAAATGTCAAATCTTTATTAGAAAGTGAGTATCTAAAAAAACTCATCATCAAAAACTGTAGAGGAATTTATCTGAAAACAATCGTTAGAATGAAACATTTACTTACATTGGATTATGACCAAAGAGACTTACCAGTTAAAGGACCTTTCAAGAAACTTCTCAACAAATTAAATCTAAGTCATAACAATGAATTTCTTAAGTATTATACTTACCTCAGACAATTACCAAATTGCAAATACAACTCTGTTCAAATAAATTTCATTCATCCATCACTAACAGACAACTACTATTATTTTAATCATACCATTGAATAACATCTCTTTCTTTTAACTGTTTTCTTATTTCATTCTTTTTATTTTGAAACAGAATTTTTCAAATAAATCAGAAAAGTAAAAGAACTATTTAAGAAGTAAAATCTAAAAAATAAATCTGATATGGTTTCTTTACCCAACCCTCTATACATTTCAATATTTATATCAATTATTTCAGCCATTTTTATTTATGCATCAATCCTATCACCATGGACTGTTAATTCATACCATATGGATCCATTAACAGTTAAACACCTTGGTGGGTTGACTTATTATGCAATAGAAACAGATATGGGTGAATACACCATGTCTACATTTATTAGATATATTAATTCTGGTATTTATTTCAAAGAAAATGAATCAAAACAATACAATTATCAAGTGGCTAGTTTAAAATGTATTTGTGTATTTGTGTGTTTCCAATTTATTTATATGTTGGCATTTATCTTTTTTACTTTCATGAATATCAAAAAAGATGCTTATGTTCTTAAAAAAATGGAAAAAATTATGAACCATTCATTCATCATTTACATTATTCTTAGTATAATTGCATTACTCCCATTCATTACTACTTGCATTGGTATTGCTGCTGCTTGTAAAGTTGGATTTGAAAATGAAAGTCAACAAGAAAAATTCACACGACATGTAGGATCAGGATTTATTCTTCATCTTCTTGCAACTATTGCTCAAGTTGTTTCATCTGTCATTGCCGTTGTGTTCTGCAAATTGTGCAAGCCAAAAGATGAGTCTAATTATGATGCTTTTTAACTTTGTTTAACACAAATTAAAAATTTGTTATTCAATTTGTTATTTTTTATTTTTCAAAATTTTCCATCTTTAAATTTTATCAATGGGAATTATTAATTATATAACAAGTATACTTTATATTCCTTATGTATTCACCCCATTGGTATTGTTAATATGTTTATTATCATGTATAATTGTTATTAGATACAAGTCATTAAGAGATGAAGATGTGATGTTTGTTATTTTCGCAGTTGTTGTCTGTGTATTGATTAAAACATCAACAATCTCAATTCTTGGGACTTACATTTCACCTATTAATCAACCAGTATTTATTTATGCATACTTTTCTATCCAACTCCTAAGAAATATGATTTGTTTATTCCAATTAAAATTAGATGAACAATGTTACTATTCTCCAGCAGCTTTTGTGGCAAACTTTTCAACAATAGGATTTATTGTGTTTATGCCAATATATATTGTTTTATTCTGTACATTAATATTTAAATGTATAAGTCTTGCACCATCAATTACATTACCAATAACAATACCAGAATTTATTATAATTCCAATTGAAGTAATTTATGTAATCTATAATTATGGATTTATATATAAACGATGTTATGATAATCAATGGAGTAAACGATATATTAAACACTTTTTTACAAAAATGCATTTTGACTTTATAACAATAGGATGTTTATTTATTCATTACACTGTTTTACTTATATACACATGGGGACAACGATTAATGGGAATTTGGATTAGTTTTCAAATACTTAGAATAGGATTTGTAAGTATTTCTAAGATTAAAACGGTTCAGAAATATTTTAATCATCTTGTAATCACACTCAAAATTTGTGATGTAAATGAAGGGGAATGTTCTATTTGTTATTCTCGTCTGAAAAGAAAATGTGTTTCATTTTCTTGTGGTCATAAATTCCATTACTCTTGTGTGATACCATGGTTACAACATAACTCTGTTTGTCCTCTTTGTAAACAACCTATTCTTCAATCAAAAACTAACTATGGGAAATATATCATGAAATTACCTAAATCAAGTCGTTTTATTGTGCGTCTTTATCAATTTTTATTTAAACAAAATACTGTTCAAGAACAAATTGGAGCTATTAAAGAAGTATTTCCAATGATTCCTGATGGTGTTATTCTTCAAGACTTAGAACGATTTTCAACAAGTACAGATGTTATTGCACATTATATAGACCATCCAGAAATTGTTAATGAATATACAAACATTATAGCTAATGAACAAGAAACACATCAACATGAATTAGTACCAGACTTTGATATAATGAAAAACCTTGAAGGAATAGAAGAAGATTCTACAGAAAGTAGTGATGAAAATATTAATTTAGAAGAGCTTAATCAAATAAATGAATTAAGAAAACGAAAATTAATTGAAGATAATTTATAATTCAATTTATTTTCTTGTGTTTTAATTACTTCTTTAATAGATTTTGTAATTCAATCATTCTTTTTACAAGTTGTTCCATTTTAGATAAAACACTTTGTCTATCTCTAAGTAAAATTTCATATGCATTTTGTTCCATTTGTTTTTCATTAATTTTTTTTGTATAAAATTCAATAGCTTTATCAACTTTCTATTTAAATGAATTAGGTATTATATATTATTTATAAAATTAATGAACAAACTTTACTTACATAGTATTGGTCTCCAATATGAACAATCACTCTTCCATTAAACTCAATATCTCCTTTCGTCATTAACTAATTATTAACTATTATTTCTTTATATTAACAAAATTGTAATATAAAACAAACAGTTTGTGTGAGTGGAATAAATGCGTTGGTTGATATTGTGTCTGGACGTTTTAAAGTATTTAAAACTAATACCTTTTCATTATAATCTTCTAATTCCGCCATCACTCTTTTGATATTTGCATTAATCCAATCAATGTCCTATTACATAAATCTCCTTTTTTATTTCTTATTATAAAACCCTTCTCATTTTATTCAGCAAAATTACAAACAGCAACAAGTTGTTGATTTAATGCAGCTAATTCATATCTATCCATTTGTTCAAGTTTAATTGAATTTCCCATACACTTCATTAAAGATAAAAGAATTGAAATAATCAGATGATAAATGGGATAAACTTGATATTAAACACTTAAAATATTTTAAATAAAAATAATGAAATATAGAGGATAAACTACAGAATAAAAAAAAATAATAAAAAGAATAGTAAAAAGAACTATATAAAAGAAACTATAAAATATAATATTATGATTTTTGAATTACTCTTTTTCCTAAGTGTTGTCATTGCAGGTACACCTGCTACTCGAATGAACTCAAGATCAATGATGCCACTAAGACCATTTGCAATGAATCAACAAGAATTAGAAAGACAAATGATGGAAGAACATAATCAAAATTTACGAAGATTAACAGATAAATATTTACTTGATGAGAGTGTTAAAGGATCATTAAAGAATGCAAATAAGAGATTATGGAGAGATATGAGAATTAGTGAAATGGAAGCTAAAATGCAATTTAGAAAACAAATAGCAGAAAGAGGAAATCAACCACAATACAAACAAGCAGCTGATAAATGGAAGAGTCTTGAGATGCAAAGAAAGATGTTTATTAGATATATGAAAAGTGCTAATAAAAATAGTGTTGATTATGACTCATTATATTCAATGCCATTTAAAGAAGATATTCGTTTTCCTAAACAAAAACAAATATTTAAAGTTGAAGATGGATTAATGCAAGGTCCAAGTAAAAGTTATAATAAATGGATTAGACCTGATGGTGATATTACTGCTGACAATGTTGATACAGACAAAACTTATTGGGCAAATAAATATTTTACAAGACATTAATTCAATTAATTTGTAATTTCTCAATTAAAGTATTAATTAATCACATTGTGTTATTGTTAATTCAAATGAATGATCAAAGTTATTTTTTGTATTAGGATAATGAATATCTACTTTAAATCCTCTTGAATTTAATGACCCATGAATAATACCAATAAGATAAGATAAATACATTTCTTTAATTTCAATTGGATTATATTTTTCTATTTGAAATGAACTTATTGTTGAAACAAAATCTGAATGTAAAACTGTTATAATATATGTTTTCTATTAGATTATTCTTTTATTTTGTTCTTTTTTATTATTTAATTCACAAACATTTAATTCAACATATTTAAGTGTTGGATTATCAAAAAATGGTTTACACCATTGTGCTGTTAATAAGTATTTAATACTTTCATCAATTCTATTAATTGGTTTTTCAAAATCTGTAAATCTTTCTGTTAATCTATTTCCAACATCATATCCAATTCTTTTTATTTTTTCTTTACTATCATCAATACTTTCACTTTCTTTTTGTCTGTTCATAACTACTTGCATAAGAAGATATTCAAATGAACTTTGTGCTATTTGAGTATTTTTCATTTCTTTTATTATTTTGTAGTTCGTCTTTTCTTTTTTTTTTTCTCATGTGAAAATCAAACATTAAATCTCAAAACTGTCTCTTTCTTATGTTATCCTGACATATCTTTCTTTCTTCCTCTTAATCGAACTTCATTAAGATGTTGAATAACTTCATTAGCTTTATCTCCTGTTTCACGATATCCTTCTAAAATATATCTAAACTATGTTATTTAGTAGACATCCATTATATAGTAAGTATTATAAATAACAAACTAAATCTTCTGCTTTGTAGTGTGTACATAAAAGAGCTCGTTCTAATACATATAAATCAACAGCTCTATTTTCTATTGTTTCTGACATTGTTGTTAATCCAAAATCAATAATAATGATATCTCCAGTTTGTTTAATCATGAAGTTTGAAGTAGTTAAATCACCATGAATAAATCCTTTTTTATGAATTGTGCCAATAAGTTTTCCTAATTTCCCCATCACACAAATAGCTTCATCACTGTATTTTTCATTTTTGTACATACCATTCACAAAACTCTTTAATGTTTTTCCATCAATATACTCCATTACAATATCTAAATTATTACAATAAAATACTTTAGGACATGGAATATTTAATTCATTAAATCGTTGAAGTGTTTTATTTTCATTACTTACTCGTTTTTTATTCATTGATTTGTCTAAAGTAGGTTCTCTATATGATTTAGCAAATCGGTGTTTAATAAGAAAGATACAATTTGGTGTACTCACTTTATATATAACTGCTTCTGCCCCTTGACTTACTTTGTCTTTTTCATCCAAATGAAGAAGAAGACTTTTAAAGTCAAATGAAGAGGTTTTATAAGTCATTGTCAATTAATTATCTTTTTTATTTTTAAAGATATTTTTATTTTTAAAAAACAAATCTTGAAATAAAATAGTAATATGATATCATCTGTGATTGTTGGTATTGACCTTGGAACAACTACAATTGAATGTGCATATTTTGATACAAAAAAAGGAGCACCTGATTTGGTAAGATTAAATGAAGGAGAAAAAATGCAGTCAGTTGTTTATTTTAGAAATGGATTGATTCAAAATGATGACGTTATTCAAGACAATGAGACTCAAAAAATATCAAACACAAAAAGACTAATTGGTTGTTCTTTTAAACCTTCTTTGGTACAACAAGAAAAAAGAATGATTAATTATGAAATCGTTAAAGACCCAGAAAATAGACTTTGTAGAATCAAATACGATAAAGAACATACAATTTCACCAACAGAAGTAGCATCTATTTTGTACAGTAGAGTGAGAAATAATATTGTCAATAAATTTCACACAAACAACATTAAATGTATTTTAACCGTTCCAGCACAATTCAATGATGAACAAAGAAATCAAACAAAAAAAGCCGCATTATCAGCAAATTTAGAAGTTATTGATATTTTAAATGAACCAACCGCGGCAGCATATTATTGTAGTAAAACACAAAACTATAATGATGGAGATAAAATTCTTATATTTGATTTTGGAGCAGGTACACTTGATGTTTCTCTTGTTGAAATGAAAAATGGAAATTTAAGAGTTATTGGGTCAGAAGGAAATAATTATCTTGGTGGAAGAGACATTGATATAAATGTTAAAGAATTTCTTCAAGAAGAATGTAAGAAAAAAGGATATACTAGATACCTTAAAGAGTTAACTGAAGATAAAATTATGGAATTATGTGAAAATGCTAAAATTGAATTATCTTCAAAAGAAGAAACAGATATAATATTAAAAAGATTTGACGATGATGATGATTATGATGATTATATTGAAGATATTAAAATTACAATCACAAAAAACGACTTTGAAAGAATCAATGAAAATATTAAAACAAAATGCAATGAAGTTGTCAATAAAATTTTATCTTATTGCAGATGTGATAAAGAAGACTTAAAAGATGTTATTCTTGTTGGAGGTTCTACGTTTATTCCATTTGTTCAAAAAATTGCAGAAAGTTATTGTGTAAACACAAAACTTGAAAGAAAAGCTAGTGCACAAAAAGTTGTTTCATTTGGAGCTGCATTATATGCACATCAACGAATTTCTGGAGCATCTCCAGTTCAAGATATTTGTTCATATTATTATGGAACATCTATTTATGGCACACAATTTCATTCTTTAGTAGCTAAAGGAACAGCACTTCCTGCAGAAGGAAGTGCATTATATAAAACAGTTGAAGATTATCAAACAAAATGCAAATTTGATTTACTTCAAACAAGTAATCTAAAGTCTAAAACAGAGGATTGTATTAATCTAGGAGTATTTATAATACCTAATTTACCAAAAAGAAAAGTAGGAGATGTCAAGTTTCGAGTGACTTGTAGAGTTGAATTAGATGGACGAGTTGGATTAAAGGCTGAAATAGTTGAACCACTAGACTGTAACGAAAGAGGGCGTATACATGAAATTAAATGTTTAACTTATGACAGTAGTTCTGATGAAGTAAAAAAAATTCAGTCAAATATTGCCTCTATAACAGAAGCTAAAGAGGAAAAAAAAGGAATACTTGAGGAATTTAAAGTACAACAGAAAAAACTACTTACTATCCAAACTATTCTTGAGGAGGAATTTCCTGAAGAATATAACAAATATTCTAAAGGAATATCTGAAGTTTTAACTTATAAAAGTGATAAATTAGACACGATTAAAAAGAATGTTGAATATTTTTCAAAATATATTGAAGAAATGAAAAAAGCAAAACAAAAAGAAGTTGATAACACTCCTATTAAACAAGAAAAACAAGAAATTCAAGAAATTGATGAAAAAGAATTAATCAAAAAATTTGAAAATAAGGTACTTAAACTAAAGCTTGAAAAAATGTTTTTAGACTTACAGAGCATCAATCCAACAGATGCACTTAAAATTAAACAAGAACTAATAGAAGCAATTAAGAGAATGAAACCAGATAGCAAGATTCGCAATTTTACAGAATTAAATGATATTACAGATAGAATTGATAAATTACAATCACAAATGTCTGACAAATAAATGATTAATTGATTTATTCAGGTGTTTCTGGATGTTACTTTTGATTAGGAAAAGAAGGTATAACTTAAACATACTCAAAGAAACAGAAAACATTTACGAATGAACTATATTTTTAATTCACAAAATTCTCAACTATCACAACCACTCTTCTCACAACTTAGTCAAAACACTTCTTCTCAAAATACAATACAAATAACTGCTACAGTAAGACCTTCATTACTTCTTGCAAGAAATCAATTAGAACAAAAACACAAAGAAAAAGAAGAAAGAAAACGCATTAAGAAAGAGTTATTGAAAGCAACTCTTAACCAAACTATACAAATGGCAAAAGAACTAAAGAAGAGGAGGAAGGCATTAGAAAAATTACAAACCATTTGTCAATCTATAGGTGAAGAAATGGTTTTGTCATACAACGAACAAAGTTCTTTGTTAATGAAATTCTTTGATGAATGTTTGTTAATAATCTTATTTATGAAGAAAAATGAACTAATTAATAGTACAATTAACTATAGATAAAGCAACAGATATTCCAAAGTAATTGAAAGTGATAGTAACTTTGTTTTTGTGTAAAACTGTATAGGGTAGAAATTTCATAAGAAAAAAGAAAAATAATAAAAGAAAAACAAAACAACTTCTTTTCATTTCTTTTTATGGATTTTCATCGTCACAACACTCCTCTGTTTCCATCACTGACAAGTGTATTAACTGGTATTCAACAACCAAATGCACCAATTTGGTCTGCTGATGAAACTATTTTATTAGAACAGCAAATGGCAACGTTTGTATTTTAGTTCTATTATAAAGCAATTAAAAAAATCAATAACCCATAGAATTGACCCATCTGAAGATGAACTCAGAACAGTATTAATGATTGCTCCATGGTTTCCTCACAAGTCTATTCAACAAATTTCATTAAGAATGAAATGGATTCGCTCACGAACAGTTTGTTGATATTTTTTATTCAAACTAAAAAGATACTCAGTAATAATATTTTAGAATCAAAGCTGGGATGATTTTTGTAAATCAAATGAAAAGAATCCACCAAAAAGTTGTACAGGAATAAATATGAGTGAAACATCTCCAAATGAATGTTCTTCAGGATGGTCATCTTCTTATTCATCAAATCAGTCTTCTCCAAAACCACCACAAGAGTCATCATTTAGAAAATCATTTAGAACAAGTAAATCAGAAGATTATGTTCGTTCACAACTCCAAAGAGGACTAAGTCAACCACAATCAACATTTCTTGCAAAATCAATGTATACACCAGTTTCAAGTAAGAAAGAACCACAAAAACGTGAACAAGAAAATTATGATATTTCAACATTACTTAATAATAACGAAGAAATATTAAAACATATTGAACAAAATTTAAAATATGGAGACGAATTTGCAAAATATAGTAAAAATGATATTATTCAATTCTGTGTAAATTTAAGACTTCTTCTTGGTTTAACTGACTCAACAGCAAAACCAAATAAACTTCCATTTATGCCAATGATATTAAACATATCACCAGATATTATTACTATTCCTCAAGAAACACAAAACCAAATTCAACAACAAAATTTATCATCTCATATGTAAAATGACTTTTACTAATAAACCTCAACAATAATACTCAACAATAAATTTATTTGTTATTTTCATTTCTCAACTTTTCTCTTTCAGTTTTAGCTTCTTCATAGGCTTTTTTATATTTTGTATATGACTGAAAGAGTTCATCATATTTAACAACCATTTCATTATGTTCTGTAATAAGTTTAACTACTTTCTTTTCACTAACTTTCTTTTCATTTTCTCTCTGACTCAAAACAGTTTGCAATTCAACTTCAATTTTTTCTGTTTCATTTTGAATTGTTTGAATTTGACTTTCTTTCTTATTAATTATTTCATTAGCTCGTTCAATTCCTTTGATATATTGATTATTCTCTGATTGATTTACTTCATATGAACGAATCATTTTTTCTTGAATAAATTTTAATTGGTTAAGTTCTTGTTGAATTTCTGTAATTTCATTTGGAGTTGAAATGACAGCAGTACTAAAAACACTTTCCATTTCTTTAATTTTTTGTGTTTGTTGTTCAAAAAAGTATTTTTTCCATAATTCATTTGCTTCTTGTTGAAATCCTGCAATCATTTGTTGAAGAATTTCTCTGTTAATAACAATCCTAAAATCATCTTGACTTTGACATAAATTGACCCAAAACTGTGGATTATTTCCTTCAATTTGTTGTTGCTTATAAATTTTGTATTGCATGTTTTTCAAAGTTTTTATTTTTAATCAAAACCCTTATATTTTTTTTCTCTCTTTTTTATTAAAATTATTTCTTAAAAACCTTTTCTTTAAACATAACACCTTTCAATATCCCTTCACTTAGAAAATAGCAAATTGTTTCTTATCACCAGTTCCTCTTGATGTGAATTTCAATACGTTGAATCTAACTGTCTTGGAAAGTGGTCTGCATTGTCCAATAACTACATGGTCTCCTTCTTTTAATTGTCTAAATGCTGGTGAACAATGAACTGCAATATTCTTATGTCTCTTTTCATATCTTTGGTATTTTGAAACATAATGGAAATAATCTCTTCTAACAATAATAGTTCTTTTCATATGGCATGATTTGACAATTCCTGATAATGTTCTTCCTCTAATAGAAACATCGGATGTGAATGGACATTTCTTATCAATATATGTTCCCCTGATTGCTTCAGCTGGTGTAACAAATCCCATTCCAATTTGTTTATGATATCTCTTTACACTTCCAAAGTCAATTTCTCCTTTATCATTTCTTCCATGATGGTGGAACACTTGTTTTTGATAAGCTCTTTCTGTTTGTTCTGCCATGCTGACTAGTGCAACTCTTCTTAGTTCAACCCTCCTTTTTATCCAAACCCTTCTTCTTATTTTTTTATTATTCTTTTTCCTATTTTTCTTTCTATTTTTTATTGAAATTCTCCTTTCACAAAAATATTCTTTTTCTTTATTTTCTCTTTGTTGTGTTAAACAATCACATAGCTCACTCCTCTTTTGAACTATGTTTCCTTTTATCACTATTAATTTACCAAATAACCTTAGTCATTCTTTTTCTTTCTAATTAATGCTCTTCTTTTTGTTATTTGGACTAGTACAAAACTAGTTTTTTATTTAAAATGACCTAAATTCAAAAACAAATGGAGTTTCACTAATAATTAATCCAAGTTCATAATGTCAACCACTCAACAACAACCACCTGAACTCAAGGCATACAATGATAAAATGAATCAACTCCAAGATGTTATGTTGAATAGACAAAGATTATTAACACAAAAAAATGAAAATGACATGGTCAAGAAAGAGCTTGAAATATTAGAAGATGACGATATTATATACAAATTAGAAGATGGTCAATTAAAAGAAGAAGACCCTCTTGAGGCTGAAATGTGTGTTGATCAACGATTGGAATATCTTGAAAGTGAATTGAAGAAGTGTGATGTAAAAGAAGCTGATCTTCAAGCTCAAGTTAAAGAATGTCAAAAGAAATTAGCTGACATTCAGAAGGCTGCATTGGCTGGTCAATCAAAATAATTACACTTTTTAACTAAGATTTGAAAATTTCGTGATTTTTTCTTAAATAAAAAGACATTATTTAAACTCTTATTCTTATTAATTCTTTTTATTAATGTTTTCTCCTCAATCAATCATTTCTGTTTTAGCAAAATTATTAAAAGACATTCTAATAGATGATGAGATTGAAATGACTTATTCTTTTTGTGACTCTTTATGTATTATTTATTTACTCTTTCCAAATATCAAAGAAAATCAAATTCAACCAAAAATTGTTAATTACCATGACATTATTATTTCTTTATTTTCTACTCACTTTTGTTCTTTACAATTTCCAATTGGTGATTATTCTAAACAAAAAATCCTCGAATCTATTTATCGTTTTATTCATTATTCTTCTCTAGTACGAAAGAATATTTATTTCGATGGTTCTTTTGTCAATCACCCATATTCTATAAATCTTTCTGAAGACAACAAAAAATTAGAATGGAAAACAGAAGACATAACAATTACTCTATTATTCTCCAACAAATCTAAGCCATTAGACTGGATTTTTATTAATAAAGGTTGGTACTGTGAAGTATCAAAATCTATTTTTGCATTATTTCCTTTTTTTCATTATCACATGTATTTCAAAGATGGTTGTCTCTTGTCAGATTTCACAATTCATTCAATAAATACAATTATGTTTACATCAAGGAAAATTGATTTATTTGAGAACATTAATGACTCTGGAAATTTAACTAACACTGACCAAGACGTATTTTTATCAAAAGAATCAACTATGTCACTTCATTGTGCTTTACAAAAATTCACAATTAACGAAATTTCTTCAATTTGTAACACCAAAGAATGTAGAGAGGAGATGAAGTTATGTGAATTAGTTGGAGATTGCATTGAAGAATTAAATGAGTGCAATCCAATTAGTAGAGAATTAATTGAAAATTGTTTCATAACCCCAGAGCTTCTTCACCCTCAAATTGTTCAAAATATTGCATTCTGTGGAATGACAACAAGAATTGACGCATGTTCCCTTCTTGAAAGAGGTTCCAGTGTTAATAAAGAGATTTAAATCATTTTATTTCAATAGTTTTTGTTTGTTATATTACAAAGTCTGTATTTGTTTCAAAGAATAAATACACTTTGATGAGTCAACTAAGACTCTTTTACTATACTATTAACATAATTAAATATTTATTAACATAACATAATAATTGTACTTTTAGTGTATTATTTCAAATGTATTTGTTGATGTGAAAAAAAATGTTTCTTGTGTTGTTTATACATAATTATATAGTCAAACAAATAAAAGATAAAAAACTAGATGTATATTTAACAATATTATTAGAATGTTTATGTATTTGAATTGATATGATTAAAGTATTTATTTTCATATCACTGTCTTTTATTTTTGTAGAGATAAGTCTAATGAAAATATTTTATTTCCAATTTAAAATAATATAATATCTACTTATTAAAATCAACATTATTCTATGATTAATATTATGAATAAAATATAAAGAGATGATTTTTGTTATTTGTTATATAGTTTAAATATCATATAATTACTTTTTTAATAACACTCAACATAAAATGGATATTTCTAGTTAATAAAAGAGTTAAAAGTGTTTAATCAGTAAATTTAATGTTGTTGAAAAATTGAATGATAGTTAATAAGCATTATTTGATAGAAGTATATTCATAATAAATTATTAATATTAGTAATATGATATAAATAAAAAGAATGTTATGAGAATCTATTTTGAAAGACTCTATCTAATTATGTTTTTTTGTGTTTATCTTTTTGAAACTTTTTATTAATAATTTATATATTAAAACAAATTGTAAAAAATTAAATTGAATGAATAGAAAATAGTTAACTCTTTGATTGAATGATGTGATTTGAACAATGACACATTATTATTCAGAAAAGATATTACAAAATTGTACAAATACATCGTTAAATGTGTTAATTTCTTATTAAAAAGATGCAAAATAAATTTGTTCATTTAATTCAAAATGTTGTTGATTAGTCAAAAATTAATTATGACAATAAAACACTACAAATTAATTAACTAAAAAAGTATAAATAAGTAATAGGTTAACAAAGATTTACTAATTGATGACCAAAAGAATAAGATTATATTAAATATTAAATATTAAATTAAAGTGTTTCAATGAATATTCAACAACATGAAGTACTATTTCTTCAATAAAGAAATAAAAGAATATGAAAGAACATCAACAAAGTGTCTATGATTTATAAATGAAATGAACAAGACATAAATAAAAGGATGATATTGAAACTTTTAAGTTAAATAAAAAAAAAGTTAGATTAAAACACAAAATACAAAAAGCATTTATGATGTAAATCATTACTTAAATATAATAAAAATAAGTATTCCATTAATCTATACTATCATATAAAAAAGACAATAAGAATAGTTTAGGAAAAAGTGTTTAGAGAAGTATTGACTTAGGAAATAATTGGTTTAGATAAGAATAACAACAATGGATTATAAATACATGAAGTTTTAAAGTTTTGTTATAAAAAAAGAGAAGAAAAGTGACTGAACCTTTTATTGAAAAAAAGGTGGTTCTTCAATACAGAAGGATATTATCACAGCACTTTCACAATTAGTTGAGAACTTCTTGACAGAAATAGGTTATAGAATAAATCTTAATATAAAAAGAAAATAAGTCAATCTTATTAAACCAAAAAAATAAGATGAGTAATATTCATGATGTTGTGATTATCGGCTCAGGACCTGCTGCACATACTGCGGCTATTTATTTAGGAAGATCTTCATTGAAACCAGTTATGTATGAAGGGTTTATGGCAGGAGGAGTAGCTGCAGGAGGACAACTAACTACCACTACTATCATTGAGAATTTCCCAGGATTTCCAAACGGTATTGATGGAAATGAATTAATGATGAATATGAGAACACAATCAGAGAAGTATGGAACTACTATCATTACAGAAACTATTGACCATGTTGACTTTTCAACACAACCATTTAAATTGTTTACTGAAGAAGGAAAAGAGGTACTTACAAAATCAGTTATTATTGCAACAGGTGCTACAGCTAAAAGAATGCATGTTCCAGGAGAAGACAAATATTGGCAAAATGGAGTTAGTGCATGTGCCATTTGTGATGGGGCTGTTCCTATTTTCAGAAATAAAGTATTAATGGTAGTTGGTGGAGGAGATGCAGCTATGGAAGAAGCACTTCATTTAACAAAATATGGAAGTAAAGTTATTATTCTTCATCGAAGAGATGCTTTTAGGGCAAGTAAAACTATGCAAGAACGAGTATTAAATCATCCAAAGATTGAAGTAATATGGAATTCTGAATTAGTAGAATTAGAAGGAGATGGTGATTTATTAAATGGGGCAAAAATTCATAATCTAGTTTCAGGAGAATACAAAGTTGTTCCAGTAGCTGGATTGTTTTATGCTATTGGACATAGTCCAAATAGTAAATTCTTAGGTGGACAAGTTAAAACTGCTGATGATGGATATATTCTTACAGAAGGACCAAAAACTAGTGTTGATGGTGTATTTGCATGTGGGGATGTATGTGATAGAGTATATAGACAAGCTATTGTAGCTGCAGGAAGTGGTTGTATGGCAGCCTTAAGCTGTGAAAAATGGCTTCAAACTCATTAATTCAGTTTCTTTTTTAACAGTTTTCGTTGAAATTATTGTTTCATTAACCAAATAAATAAGTAATAGTTAATGAATCAATTACGTTAAATGAATGTTGGTATGTTTTACATCACTCTGAAGAGTGAAATGACAGCTGAACCTACAACAACAAATAAGAATATAGCTAAAACTACTGGTCCAACTGCTGCTTTTTCTTCTTTCTTAGCTGGTTTAACTCCTGACACGAATTTTTTATTTTGGGCATTTAAATGAGCTTGGGCTCCTGACATGAAATTGATTCAGTAATGAGATTTTAAAGATTGTTTTCTTCTTTTCTATTTGGTGAGGAATTTTTTCTTTTTTCTTTTTTCTTTTTTCTTTTTTCTTTTTTCTTTTTTCTTTTTTCTTTTTTTGTGTTTTATTTTTATTTTTATTCTTGTCTTTTTTGGAGATCCTTTTCCAATGCAGGAAATACAACAAATTTTAATGCCATGGCTATTGTGTAAAACCTTAGAGTCTTGTAAAGAAAAGCAAACAAGACATAGAAATCCAAGGTCATACAATAAAAAAAGAAATGTCAATAGCAATAAATGGCTTAAAAATTATAATAATAAAGGTAAATGATATTACCAAGGAAAAAGGGTTTAGAAGACGAAAGACACAAAGAAAAACAAATAAGAAATAAGGTAAATACAATAATAATAAAGATTATACAAATAACAAATACAAATGGCTAACAATAAATGAGATACAAAGAAAGAATAAAAAAAATAACAAGTGAATGGAAAGAAGGAGAATACGAAGAAATACTTAAAAAATATGAAGGTAAAAGGAAAAGATGGTATGATATCTTTCAAGAAGTATATTCAATTAAAAAGAAAAAGGTAATTGAAAAGACGAAAGAAGAGTTTAAAGAAAAAACAAAAGATTGGGAAGAAAAAGACATTAAGGCTATAGAAGCAGAAATTAAAAACAAAAACCCAATTAAAGAAATGAATGATAGATGTAAAATTTCAAGAATAATAAATGAAACAGAAAGTATAAAGAAAGTACAAGAAGAAATAGAAAATAAAGAAGAAAAGATAGAAGAAGAAAAAGAAAAAGAAGAAATACTTGCTCTGAAAAATCAAATTACTGAATTACAAGGAAAACTTAAAGAATTAAGTATGAAAAGAATGGAAGAAGAACAAGCCATCTCAGAAGAAATGAGGAGAAAAGCAAAAGAAATAGTTAGAAAAGAATTTGAAGAAGAAATTACAGAAATGAAAACACAAAATAAAAAGATTCAAACGAATTATGAAGAAATGAAGAAAGAAAATGAAAAATTAGAAGAAGAAAACTTAAAACTACAAGGAAAAATAAATGAGATAGAAGGAAAGAAAATCACAGAAGTAAATAATAAAGAAGAAAAAATCCGAAGCATCCAAGCTAATAAAAAGAAAATTGAAAAAGAAAATGAAGAAATGAAAGAAGAAATTGAAAAGTTGAAAAAGAGAAACAAAACGCTAGAACAAAATGCAAACACATTAGAGAAGAAAATTGAAACGATAGAGGAAAATACTAAAGAATTAAAGAAAGAAATAAGAGATAAAGAAAAACAAATCTCTGAATATCAAGAAATTGCAATTAAAAACCAAGAAATTGTAGAAATAACAAGAGAAGAATTAGACAACACACAAAAAGAAAATGAAACACAAAAACAAATAATATCAAAACAACAAGATGATATTGAAAATTTTATTTCACAGAAGGAACTAGAGAAGAAGAAAACGATGACACTTGTGATAAATACACAACCAGTAATGAGGAAAACATCATCAGGAACAATGGAGATGAACGAAACTACTCCTATGAAAAAGACAGTAGTGGAAATCGAAGAGAAAAGCAAAGCACTGATTGTCAAAAAACAAGAGATGATAATCAGACAAGAAATACAACAGAAGGAGAAATCAAATTTTAATTGAAGTGATGTATTGTTTTGCAATTAATTGGTTGAATAAGAAATTATATAAGAAATTAAGATGGGAACAAATTGAAAGTATAATAAAAATGATAAACATCAATGTCAATAATAAAAAAGAATATATTAAATATATTAAAATATCACATAAAATAAAAGAAAATACTAAACAATACATTAAAGTGAAAGTAAATATTATAATAGAATGAAGAGTAGAGTGTAATTCAATAATAAAAAACATCATAATAAAGAATAACTCTACAGAAATTGATGAAGAATATCTTAACACTCTCATCAATAAAATAAAAGAAATGAAAGTAGAAAAATGTGCAAACATTAATTACTACTTTCAAAGAAAAGGAACTGATGAATTAATAATGGAAATTAATAATAGATGGATAATGTCAGGAAGCAGAATGCATTATCTACAAGATGATATGAAGAGGATTTCAATTTGTTA